TCTGCCAATTTGTCATTTGAAAGTTAAGTTTTGGGTGAACTATTCCTGATACTCTGCCCTCAACACTCCTAAAACTAACTGCATTTTCCTGCTTTGCATTGAGTCAAACGATCTCTTCTAGTCCAAGTTGCCGTTTTTTGTTTTTGGCCAGAAGAATCATGAATGTGGGTCAGACTCAATGCTGATGGCTCTGTAAAACTACTCAAGCAATCGAAAATTGCAAAAAAACGTTCAGGCGTTCTCCTTCCTGTACAATAGTTTGACTACCATGAGGAAAGTTCCCTGCAGTCTTGCTAGTAGCACAAATCAATTGGACTGAATTTAACTTCAGTTTGCTTTTTCTTCCATCAGACCTTGGCCCTCAAATGTACAAGAACTTACAGAGCAGATTAGCAATTTCATTTGTTGGGAGCAAACTGTATTCAAATATATTTTGAAGGCTCTCAGTACAAAGGCAGAAAAGCCCAAACAAGATTTTCCCTGTCTCCTCTTGCATTTATTTACAGGCGTAATGAAAATGATTGTTTAATAATGCAATGCCCTAACAGCAATGGACACACAGCCAAAGCACTAACTGGTCCCTAATTTAGCCCTGTCATCATACATATTTTTTTAAAGCAGGAATCAAGAACGATCTGTGGCTTAAAGATATAACATGATTCTGCTAAAAGGAATGTATGGGTGCATTTCATTCTGGGCTGTACTGACTAAATAGAGGTTTATTCTCTGATTCAGATTATTTTAGACAAGCAGAGTTGTGGAGGAACTAATTAAAAGTAGCTGTGAACTTCATCGTTCATCAAAAAATGAAAATTATTTCATCATGAACTCACCCTTATGTCATTTCAAAAGACTTGTTCTACTAACTAACTAAAATAAATAGTTCTGATTGTGGAGAAATAACTTTTAATCTTCATATACACAACAGCACTATTAAAGGGGTCATATGATGCGATTTAAATTTTTCCTTTCTCTTTGGAGTGTTACAAGCTCTTGGTGCATAAAGAAGATCTGTAAAGTTGCAAAGACTAAAGTCTCAAATTCAAAGAGATATTCTTTATAAAAGTTAAGAGTCAACCACACCCTCCTAAAACGGCTCGTTCTAACACGCCCCCACATATCTACGTCACGATGTGGGAAGATTTGCATAACGCCGCCCAAATGTTCACGCAAAGAAAGAAGGCGTAACTTTGATTCTCGCTGTGGTATTGTTGCCGCCGCCGCCATGTTGTGGAGACGCTGTGTGTTTCGTTATGAAAGCAAAACTACTTAGTTTGGTCTTCCAAAAGAGGACACAACTAGAAATCAGTGGTTAAGTTGTATTTACAACACTGTTCCAGAACAGTTCAACCCAAATATTCAGATGTGTGCAGCACATTTTATGGAGGACGAGGACTGTTTCCTGGGAGAGTAGCCTACAATGCCGGTGTCTGTTTCTATAAAGTGGGGCAATTCCAACTTTGCAAGGACAGTTTGGCGCTTCATGACTCATATCATAACGCACTGGATAGCTGGCCAATCAGAGCACACCTCGCTTTTCAGACCGATTAGCTTTGTAAAAATCAACGCGTTTCAGAAAGGAGGGGCATAGAGAAGAAACAATAATGTACATTAAGTGGAAAATAATGTGTTTTTTGAACCTTAAACCACATATAAACATTGCATTACACCAAATACTCAAAATAATGTTCTTTTTAGCAATGTCATATAACCCCTTTAAGCCATACAAGTGTATGATATGTTCCATGTGATTTAAAGTCATACACTCTTAAAAATAAAGGATTTAAAATAAAGGAACCTTTACAACCATGGAAACTTTCCACTGCACAAAATATTTTTTCTTTTAGTTTTTTAGATTATTAAATATTATTAAAATTGAGATAATAAAATAAATAAATTGGAGATTTAGTTGGTTCTTTTCAATGAATATATGGATCCAATTCGTTTTGTTCTGTTTCATGGTAATCTTCACCTCCTTTAAGATGTTAACCGCTATGACAGGATCAAGTCAAACTTGAACCACAATTCACAGAAAAGTTGAACAAATTGACAGAAAAGTCTGACTCAATAGATCTGTTCATACATCAGTCATAATTATTACTCTCATAAACGCATCAATGAGAGTTAGGGTGATGTCAAGCTTCTCAGTGGATAAAGGACTAGAATTCTGGTCTGTTTCTCACAAAGGTACTTTATGATTCAGAAGACATGGGATATAGTGCACGAGTCATGGAGCACTTTTTTTTTTTTTTTTTAAGCTTAAAAGCTTCAATCCCGGTTTATAGTAACTGAATAACATTCAAAATATATATTTTGTGTCCCACAGTAGAACAAACATTACAAGGGTGTGGAATAACATGAGGGTGAGTTAATAATGGCTGAATTTTCATTTCTGTACGAACTATTCATCGGTAGTTGATCCCTAATTCATTTGTACTGACTATAGTTGAACTACTTTAAAACAGTATCTATCCAGGCTACTCATAATTTAAAGTACCTTCCCATACACTGTAGACAAGTAGTGATTTTTTTTGGCGTGTGCCGTTACACAGGCGTTGATGGATATGGGTCTCTCGTCAGAGTGAAGCCGTGATGTTTTGCAACTGCTTGCCCTCAGCAGTCAGCACTTGGCCCACATAGCACACTTTGAATGAGTATCTGTCACACATGGCACCATGCCTTATTGCGCCGGGTGGAGTTGTGGGAAATAAATTGCTGAGAAAGTTGGTACAGGTACATTTTCCACCAAACTTTCCTCCATACACACTGAAGAGAGAAAGTTCTCCAAAACATCTTTATCATAGGAGAGCAGGGGCCTTCTTAAGGCACTGTCACTGTCTTCTGACAAATATACACAGTGTATACAAACACAGAGGCATACAAAACAGAAATAAAGTACGCCTTTCAGAGAAGGGACAATTAGGCATCTCATTTCACCATGAGAACAGCACAAAACTGTCATCATTTACTCAACCTCATGTTGTTCCAGACCCATAAGGCATTTGTTCCTCTTCTAAACACAAATTAAGATATTTTAACCCTTAAATGCATGAATGTTTCGTCAATCATTTTTACATATTCGGGTCTTTAGCGACAACCATATTCTCAAAACTATCGTTTTCAATGACTTCATATTCAATATTTTGATCACTGGCAGCTTACCACATCCAGCATCAAATGGCAGTGACATTTATATTTCATTGCGTATAGTAATTGCTCTGCAGTAAAGCCATTAAAACCAGCTACATTTGTGCTGATGATATTGGTTTGTTTTATGCCTGCGGCAATTATGAGTGAAACATCACGTCATCATTATATATCAAACAGTGCCACCTTGAGGAAAAAAGATGCACTGCACTAATTGAGTCATCAGATATGTAAATATAGTCGCGCAGGAAAAAATACTTACGCATTTACATACATCGGGTCTCTAGCGACCCTATACATTTTTTTTTACAAAAAGTTAATCAGAAAACAGGCATTATTTTATATTTTGCTATTTTTTTATTGTTATATTGTTTATAATGAATAGACTGAGGAATACTAAGAAAGTTGATCATTCATTTAAGGGTTAAATGAAACCTGAGGGATTTCTATCCACGCAACCGAAACTTTGACGTTTCAAAATGTCCAAAATGTCCAAGTCTTCTAAAGAGAAACAATCACTTTACATGACGAAAATGTTTAATTTAGGCCTTTATTCATGTATAAAAACTGATCAATGCACATAACACAGAATTCAATTAAATATGGTAATTGGAAGCTCAAACGTGGTTTGTTCTTCCATGTCAAGCAAGCAGGGTTGAGCTTCCGTGTTCACCATATGATAACTATGTTGGTGGGTTGAGCAATGATTATATATGAATGAAAGCCTAAATGAAATCAGTTTATCATATAAAGCGATTGTGTCTCTTCAGAAGACTTGAATTAAACCGCACCATTCATATGGATTACTTTTATGATGACTTTTTTATATGAATTTATACTTCTATGATTACAAAAGTGCCTTTTGTACCTTAAATATGTGAAAGTTTTGGAGGGACAGAAATCTCGGTTTTGGATGGCATGGATCTGGAATGACATGAGGGTGAGTAAATGACAATTTGATTTTTATGTGAACTAACCCGTCGATGCTCAAGCTTCTCAAATCTACCACTGCATTAACAAAACGTAATTCAGGAAGGAGCGTTCACATTGACAGCGATTTGGTGTGACAAAGCACCCAGAAGTCACTCATTCTCAGGGGAGTCTGTGATTTGCGGCGACATGAGCAACTGCAACGGTTGGCAATGTAACAAAGTTGAGCTGAAATGTATGCTAATGAGCAGTGATGCGATGCAACCGTTCTCTTTCAGGTCAACTACTGTCACGCAAAGCATTTGTGTACTTGTGTAGAGTATGTTTCTGGCCTGAAGGACAAATTGGATGGAACTTGTGAAAACAAAGTGGGGCTTTGATTCCTCAGGATTAGACAAGGTCAAATGACCCAAGAAAAAATTATCCCCATAGATGCCAACAACTGCAAAGCCTGAGGAAAAGCCCCCCCCCCCAATCCACTGAGTGCATCAACTGAGCCGCCCGAGCTCATTGTGTGGTTTAGGCTATTACTGTCTCATAAGTCCACTGGAAGAGTCCCTATGGGCCCTTCAAAATCATTAGTCTGGACATTCCGTTTAGTCTACTGGAAATCAAGCACTTAAAGGTGTAGAGGTCAAGAAAACGGAGGACTTTGGGAACAATCATAACGATTGAATCTGACAAAGAAACCGAAGATTCTTGGAAGAGCTTAAAGGGGCAGGTTATGACAAATATTATGAAATTATGATTGAGAAACAGCATTAAAATTCATGCCACTGGGCATAAAACACCCACTCTGGCTTAACAGCAAAAGCGAAGAACAGAAACACTATTGAGTTTACACAGCTGTGCTGTTTTAGGAGTTTGCCAGGGCCCTATACATAACTACATATCTCATATTATAAAAAGGTTTATTGACTTACCAATATACTCAAAAACATAAACAACGAAGAAGGGTGTGACAAGGTCATTGATGCCCTGAACGTAACCACTGGCTGGATGTCGTATCGCCCAGATGAACAGAATCCGCTCAAAGATCTAGTAAAAAGAAGAAGATATCAGAAAATACATATATTCAGCATTTGTAAGTAGCAGATATTGATATATAATGATTCATGCGATACAACATGAAAACTGTTAGTAGCAGAATTTGAGCATACAAGGTCACTCAAACGGTTTTAATTAGAGACACAGTGGGATCAAGCCACCCCAGCCAGCAATCAATTAAGAAAATTAATTAAGCCTTCTGAGCTTTTGAATCATTAACATCACAACATTCAATAGCACAGACAGCAAGGTGAGAAATTACAAGTAGCTGTGTGCATATTTATTATCAGATGGGGTTCTCTCTTTTGTGGTTTGCCAAGCAGGATGTGTTGCTGGATTTATAGAATTGTGGGTTCTGGAACAACACTGTTATTGACCAATCGGATTTTAGGGTTAACGCTAGTGTTAGGATTACCTTAGGTCTGGGGTTGGATTAAATGTCTAAAGACATATCAGTCTATCATTTCTGATTTAAGTGGAAAGTTAAGATTATTTTAGTTTAGTTTACACCTAAGGATCAGCTTAAGCCCAAAGAATATTTCCGTTTTAATGTGAAGTCTTTGCTTAGCCTTTCAAAATGTAGCCTTCGAGTGGAGATGGGAATGAGTTCCGAGCACAAGAATGACCAAGCAAAACTGTATTTACAAGCGGGAAACTCTGAATTCTAGATGAAACCCAAATTGCAGTGTTGTGGCGTTGGAAGGGGTATGGCGATGTGAAACATGGCAGCAACCAAATATTTTTGTGAATAACAATGAAGGATTTTTCAACATTATTTTAATATGCCATGCTGTATTTCAATATCATTAAAGCATTATGTATAAAAGAGCTTGCAGACAACAAAAGTGTTTCATAAAATACAAAATAATTGTTTGGAATGAATGAATGAATGAATATTAGGGGAGATAGTTAGATTTTATGTAGTTAATGGTTAGGTTTGTGCTAATAGCCTGTGCTAATATCAATAATCAATATTTGTCATGAGACCTTAATAATTGTAGTCAAATTTACTTTTACTATTTCATAAAAATATATTATTTTTAGTTGACAAGAAGCTGCAAAACACAACCTCATATTTTTTTTAATGTAAATATTTAAGAAAGCATTCTAAAATATCAAACGTTATAAAAAATTGTCCTTCGCTCCAGAAATAATAACTATTATGTAATCTACTGTAACACAATGCTCACTGTACACAAGTTTGTTTTACTATTTTGTTACAGAAGAGAACGCTTTGATATCATTACTTAAATACACATACCTTTTTCTTAGATTTTTCAATCAAAAAAAATTTTTTTTTAAATTATTTTGTGCTGTCATCTTCATCAACAGTATGTTTTAAATTGTTTTAATTTTTTGAAAGGCAGCGGGTGAAAAGAAGAAGGAATCTTGCTCAGTGCCACAATGTATCGACACACCTGCCTTTGCAAATGAAATCCATTTCTAGCAAGCCCATGACAGTGAATTTAATAATATGAATATGCAACTGTGGACCACGTTGGGTTTGGTTAAATGTGCCTACAAAAACACTCAGCCAGCATGTAAATAAATAAAATAAAATATGTAAATAAATAAAATAAAAAATAGACAGTAAGGCAATTCATTAAAGTTTGCAACAGTGTGTTTTTTAGTGCATGCCCCAATGACACAGTATGATAACATTACAAGATTTTTTATTTTTTTTTGCATGCTATCATGTGATATAAATGCAGCAATAGTATTTCAAAGCCAGACAGCTCAATGTGAAATTCTGAAGTCTTATAATATATTTATATGAGGAACAGAGTGGACTATTTATTTATTTATTTATTGTTTGTTTGTTTGTTTGTCTGTTTATTATTTTGTATTTATTCATTCATTCATTCATTTATTAGCATGCATTTAAGGCTGTACGACAAATACGAAGTGATGTAATTATAATATTTAAAAATATATATTTTTTGCATAATTATGAGAATTTGTCCTTCATTGTCATGAAAATAACGTTACTGTTTATTTTCCATTTTATTTATGTGAAATAATATTATAAATTCATTAAAATAGTTTATTTAAACAATAATAGTTTTAAAAAAATCCCCAACTCGAGTATCTACACTTAAGACTTTTTAGGTTAGTCTAGATTTTGGTCTATTCTCTCACATACGTCGATTTTATGTATAGATCAATTTTATGATATTTCTATGGTGAAGTTGGATACTTTTGGAATCCTAAAAGCTTCATTCACCAATCATTGTGAATGTAAGGAAAACACTGGCCACAACAGTCAGAATTTCTCCTCTTGTATCACAGAGGAAATCTTATAGGTTTGAAATGACGTAAGGATGACAGAATGTGAACTGTTTCTATAAGGTAATTTATTGTGGCTGGGTGTGAGTTTGTGAGGATGAACGAGTCAAGCTGAGTAAAATGGGTGGTGCAAACGTCTCACCTCTTGCACAGAAGCTTGTTGAAAGAGAGGTATAAGAGGATTAGTTCTCGGTATGTCAATGTGAATCTGCGGGGAAGAGACACAAAAAGAGGAGCACAAGCAGGTTAGGACAGAACGGACTAGCGAGAAAGGGAAACGAGCCTGGCCATTTGAGGCTGCGCCTGAGAAGAAACGCGCTGAATTCTGGTATTCTACTTCCTGTTTACCTTAACACACGCTTTCCAACAAAACATTTTTGAGCTCAAGACTGAGCTGGCCGACCAGAAGACAGTTTGACAGACAGACAGAGACAGACGGATGATGATCGAGTGACATGCTTTTGAGTGGATGGTGGACAGAAGCATGTGACGTGACTCTGGACGCTCCATCTGTCCTCTTACCTCGGTTACCTTGGGCTGCAGAACTAAACTTTCCGGACTCATCCGGGGAATATCTATGTGAATCTGATGGTTCAGAAAACACACAAACATGTATACAAAAATGTGGATGTCAGGAACATAAAGAGAGTTATGGAACTGAGAGAACACAAATACACATATATATTTTGAACAAACAGGAGAATTTTTAAATTCATGAAGATGATTTATTCTGCAGAAATTATTAATCATATGAAGCACTTCATTTGCAATTAATTTAAATTTAATATGTGACCCTGGACCACAAAACCTGTCATAAGGGTCAATTTTTCGAAATAGGACAATATTATATTATATTAATATTATAGGACAATATTTGGCCAAGATACAACTATCTGAAAAGAAATCGTGCAAAGAAATCAAAATATTGAGAAAATCACCTTTAAAGTTGTCCAAATGAAGTTCTTAGCAATGCATATTACTAATCAAAAATTAAGTTTTGATATATTTACGGTAGGAAATTTACAAAATATCTTCATGGAACATGATCTTTACTTAATATCCTAATGATTTTTGGCATAAAAGAAAAATCAATAATTTTGACCCATACAATGTATTTTTGGCTATTGCTACAAATATACCCCAGCGACTTGAGACTGGTTTTGTGCTCCAGGGTCACATATATACTACAATATTTATAATAAAAATGTAAAGTTTTCATTTCACAAACTAATATACATATGTTTCTACATTTAATTTTAAATTATATGAATTTTATATTTAATACTTTTTAGAGGTTTATACATGGTATATTACGTTATATATCACTGTATTTTTTTTTATAAGTTTGCATTGGCTATTTTCATGAAAATTAAGCACTTTCCAACTCTTCCAATAATGATTCTCTTTAGATTATCCTTGCTCCACTACTAGATTTGTTTTAATCATAAATTTAAGGTATTAGATCAAACACTAAATGTTGTATATCATTTTACTTTCCCAATTCAATGAAATAAATTACCAAATAATTATAAAATTAAAAATAACAGCAGCAATAATCAAAATAATATATATTATAATTTCACAAATAAAGTGTTTTTCCATTGTATGTAAACTTTAATTAAAATTAAACTATAGTATTAAATTCCATTAAGCTTCTAAGGCAAAAAATGCCTTAGTGATTGCAAAAAGCAAACTATTTTTTTAAGAATAAATATGAATTTATTATTATTTATTCAATCATTTTTGAGTGAAACATAAGCAATGTTCTTAATAGGCTATGTGAGAATCACCAGCTTGCAAGAGGTGAATCAAATGTGTGAATCTCACATCGCCAGTGATCACTAGACGTCAGTCTTAAATCAGGTAGACATTTATCAGATCAGAGTGACAGCAACAGCCTGATCTTCACATCCTCCTGCCAATACACTGGAGATTTAAACATTCCTTGTCATCTTTTCCTCTTCTGCATTACAATATCAAACACTATCTGTTGGTGGCATTTCTAAACATTATGAGCTCCTAACAGCTTGGCAAGGTTAACATACTGCTGCTTCCAAGACTTCAATCAGTAAGTAAACACAACCAGAAACCCTGACTATATAACAGTATACCCCTGGCTTTGAACTTGAAAATTCTTCGATTAAACAGCAGAATTAGGACTGGCTGTGCAGAGCTGTACAGGAAGTCAGGAAGTTAAAAGGAAATCAGAGGAAATTCTGAATCATCTCCAGAGTATTTGATTCAGTTAATTATTGCTGTCATCCTGCATAAAGTTCAGTTAGCAGTATTCTCTAGTACTGTAGGAGGCCTCTTCCACAAATAAGGTACAAAATATCACCAGGAACTAGGGCTGGGTAAAAAATATCGAAATCTCAATATTAATCGATTCTCATTTTTACGGAACGATATCGATTCTTAAATCCCAAGAATCCATTAGTCTAGCCTGTTTTCAGTTAATGGACGGAACACTGAAGGGCACCTCCCATCCAATATATCGCAATAAGCATTGTGCTTTGGTACTTTTAATATGAAACAGTCTCAGATTTCAAATTATGTCCATTGTATTGCAATATTCAAACAACAAATGCCGTGTTAAATGAAAGAGTACAACTTTACAATCCATATCCTGTCTCATGTAATCGCTTAATCAGTGTTTCAGCCACGCAAAGATGTCAATATAATGTTACCAACTGACTCTCATGTATATTTTAAAGCATTAGTTGAGAGATTTTTTTTTTCCCTTGAGAAAATTTGGCATGTACTGTACTTGATAAAGTAATTGATTGCATGAAAATCTACAAGCACAGAAATCCATTTATCACACAAGACGCTCCCCCATGTGGCTATTTTTTACTTTCACACTCAGACGAGTTTTGTGACAAGATGTATGTGTGCCAAGGAGAGCTCTTCTTTATGCTCCATTAGCATTTGTACATGTAATTAAGTCTAACAGACTAACACATTATAAATAATGTTCAGATTATTAAAAGAAAAAGCACACCATAGAGTTAGAAATTAAACCTGCTATTATTATTAAACCTGATGGGGTACATGGGAGTTTTTCTTCAACTACAGGCACGTTTGACCCTGCAGACCTTTAGAAAACACCTTCCAGACTTGCTAGTGTGTATATATACAGTGTATGTGGCGTCTGGCACTTTGGAGAGGTGTTCTCTTCACGGATGAATCCCAGATGGCAGACAGTGTGTATGGCGTCTTGTGGGTCACTGACATGATCTGGCGACTCTCCAGTCCGGCGTCAGAGAGGCGACTGACGGCAGTGCTCCGCAAACTATGGTTTGTGTAAATTTCAGTGATACCTTCATGGTTCACCGGGGCACTCGAACATAAATCCTCGTAAATTCTCTCTGTCAGATGCAGTAGGATCTTTGTGATTTTTTTGTTTCTGGGTTATGTGCCAAGGTTAGGTATTCCAAGTCATTCTCGTCTTGTCGGAGAATGAAAGACTCTTTAGATAGGTTGCGGTTTCCTTCTCTCCCCCTCCGTGCGAGAAACAGCTGTATGTCAAACCAAACTTTCCATACAAGTCCGATGGGTGTGAATGGGGAGAGCGCAGGTGAATTTTTTATTTTCTCCAGGTCGGACTCAGTGATACTAGGGTGATGAACGCTGGTGTCTTTTCCATTTTTCCTGTGGCGCTTTATAATTGATTTAAAGATGGCATTGCTTGATTTAAAGTCTTTATCATTTAGGATGTTGTGTTTTGTGATGTAACGGTTAATACCCGCTCTGATACACTTCAGACTTGCAACACTGTATTCGCGGCCGGTAGTAGTCTGAACAGAGGCATAAAATTCTCGCAATGTCTCATTAAGTTCAGAAGTCTCAACAGCGTCATTTTTTTTATTCTGATACAAAAAGTCTTTGAATGTGGTAATTGCCCATTTAGTAGTCTTTTTTGTATTAACCTCATCCTTGTCGTCTTCAATCTGCTTCAGCTCTGCTGGTGTTATTTCCTTGTACCGTTTTTCTTTACATTTCTCGTTTGATGTTATATTCTCCAGTTCGTCCAGTTCATCTTGTGCCTCTGTCCATTTATCAAAATTGCCATAATGACCGTATAAGCTAATGATACGCAAAAATCATCCATTTAGCCTAGCTAAGTAAATCAGAAATGTTTACTGTAACTGTCTCACTCTGTATTACTATTCAACTGTAACGCTATGTTACTATGGTTACCAATGTTTATAGGAAGCGCATTAATATAGAACGTGATTAAACTGACCTGGAACTACTTGTGCAGTTAAATGAATTTAATCAACACCTGCCAGCCAATCAGAATAGAGTATTCAGACAGACCATGGCATACATATATTTAATTGCCATTAACAGCAAATCCAGCAAATGCTATAAAGACAATAAAGAAATGAAAAGGGCAACAGAAGTGATATATTGAAGCAACTATATTGAACCATGTGCTCCATTTTAAAATGGGGTTGGGTCAGGTCGGTGGCAAGGTCTTGTTTACCCTCTGGGTTCCGGCGTCAATACAATGCCTCTGCAGACCTCTAGGACTGGTAACTTCCAGGCTTAACAAAGATAATTTTAACACAAATAATCTACAAAAAGAACTGCTGTTATTAATAACATGCACAAAAGATGACACCACTGATCTGGCACTCATGTATTAACACTCCAGCTCGGCTACGAGCCACACAAGTGTAGATGCCAGAATCAGACAGCTGTACCGGTGCAATCCTGTGCAAACACAAGGAGACCGGACACCGTCACTGCACGAGGTGAAATAAACATGAAATGAAGTTGTTGTTCTCATTTTGTCGCCAGAGAAAGAGAGAGAGAGAGAGAGAAAGGGCATTGTTCACAGCAGGTGCAGAGGTCCAAGAACAACAGGCCGGTAATAAATGTTTCCCAGCAGCTGGGTTTGGATGAACACACGTGTAAGGTCTGTGTCCAGGCGCTGGCTCTGCATCAACCCACTCCCACCTGCTCACGACGGGACGCCATTACTCAAACACCTCGTATTAGTGTGACTGAAACCACCATTTAATCATCTGCACAGCTTTATCCTTTTATTTATTAAAGCCCACCATGTGCTATTTCACCGAGTGTGGGTGGGTGAGAAGGAGATGGGTCTTACACCCAAAAAAAAAAAAGAATATGAGAGACTGGGGTAAGTCTTTTTTTTTTTTATCTTACACCTACAAAATGTTATTTTGGAACACTCATAACTGCACTTTTAAACTAGTACAAGCCAATTTTTCAGCAGTTATTGTTCTCACGCCCACAAATAAACAAGGCAGCAGGTGGATTGTGGGTATAAC